CTTTGAGTTGGAGTCTCACTCTGTCACCTAGGATGGAGTGCAGTGGCATGCTCATGGTCACCCCAGTGTCGAACTGCAGGGCTCAGGCAATCCTTCCATCTCAATCTTCCAAGTAGCCGGAACTACAAGTGCATGCTACCATGCCTGGCTAATTTTTTTTTATTATTATTGTAGAGATGAGGTCTTGTCAAGTTCCCCAGGCTGTTCTCAAACCCGTGGACTCAGGCAATTCCCTCACCCAAAGTGCTGGGATTACATGCTTGAGCCACTGTATCGGCCAGGTACTGTAGTTTATAAGATGGCACCATTGGGGGAAATTAGGCCAAAGGTACATAGGATTCTCTCTGTATTACTTTTTATGAATGCATGTGAAGCTATAATTATATTGCAAAATAAAAGGTCTAATTTTTAAAAGATCATTGAAATTAAACAAGCTCACTGTATCAAATAAGGAATGTGAAACACCTACTCCATAATAGGGGTCCACAAACAGTCCGTGGCCTGTTGGGAATTCAGCGGCACAGCAGGAGGTGAGCAGCGGGCAGGTGAGCAAAGCGTCATCTGTATTTACAACTGCTCCCCATCACTCACATTACCACCTGAGCTCCATGTGCTGTCAGATCAGTAGCGGCATTAGATTCTCATAGGAGCGTGGACCCTATTATGTACATGTGAGGGATCTAGGTTGCATGTACCTTATGAGAACCTAATGTCTGATGATCTGAGGTAGAGCTGAGGCAGTGATGCTAGCACTGTCTCCCATCACCCCCAGATGGGACTGCCTAGTTGCAGGAAAACAAGCTAAGTGCTCCCACTGATTTTGCACTATGGTGATTTGTATAATTATTTCAATATATATTACAATAATAATAATAGAAATAAAGTACACAATAAATGTAATGAGTTTGAATCATCCTGAAACCATCTCCCTACCCTAATCCATGGAAAAATTGCCTGGCTAGGCGTGGTGGCACACGCCTGTAATCCCAGTACTTTGGGACACAGAGGAGAGAGGACTGCCTGAGTCCAGGGTTTGGAGACGAGGCTGGGCAACTTGATAAGACCTTGTCTCTACAATAAATTTTAAAACAATTAAATTTGTTGGGTATGGTGCCATGCATCTATGTTTCCAGCTACTTAGAAGGCTGATGTGGAAGGATCGCCTGAGTCCAGCAAGTCAAGGTTGTGGTGGCCATGAGCGTACCACTGCACTCCAGCCTGGGCAACAGACAGACTCTGACTCAGAAAAAAAAGAAAAAGAAAAATTGTCTTCCAGGAAACCAGTCCCCTGATGCCAAAAAGGTTGAGTACTGCTGCTCCATAAGATGTACT